GTAGTTTTTGTATTTGATTTTTGTCGAAGTTTTTGTTGTTTTTGAATTTTTTTTCCAGGAGAATTTGTGTATCGTTAGTTATTTTTTTGAGTGTTGTTAGACTTTCTTTACAGGTCCAGAGGTGGTGGGTTGTTTCTGGATTTGTATTGCATCGTGGGCAGAGGTCATTGGTGTATATGTTTGGAGATGTTGTATGAAGGTGTGATTTTGTAGGGAGAGTGTTGGAGAGGATTTTAAGACGAAAATTGTAGAGTTTGGATTTATATTGAGTAGTTGGAATGGGTGTGTTTTTGAGAAATTCTAGGGTTGAAGGTTGTTTTTGCTCTTTCAGAGTGAATTATTTCTGTTAGGCGATATGTTTTGTTTATTTGTTTAAGATAGTTTCGGGTTGGAGGTAGGGGGATTTTTTGTAGGTTTGTTAGTGTATATTGAAGGGGGAAGGTATCTGTGATATTTATTTGTGGTAGAATAGAGTTTGTTGATTGGGTTTTTTGGATTGATGTGGTTGGTTTGTAAAATGTTAAAGAGATTTGTAGGGTTTGCATTATATTGTGGATGTTTGTGATAGTTGAGAAGTATGGGAGTTTGCATTTTTTCCTGTGGTTTGGTGGTGGTGGTAGAAAGGTTTTGTTGTTTATTTTGGGGTGATTGGAAAAGATTATAATGTCCTTCGTTTTGTTGGTTAGTAGTATAATTATGATTGTACGGAGTAGAGCTGGGAGGGGTTGGAGATTGAAGTGTGTGGTAAATGATTTGAAGTATTGTATATAGTTCCAAGTAACTGTGGTGGTGTTGATATTGTGTTTGAGTGTTAGTAGGACTTCGAGTGGAGAGTCCTGAAAGCAGGGGAGGTTTTCTATGATTGTTTGAGATGTTGGGGAGAAGTGTTTGTTTTTAAGTGTATCGAGTAAGTTTGAGGGGATAGTTATTTGTGGATTGTTTGTGATAGTATTGGTTTGAAGGGAATTGTGGAGATCGCTTTGTGTTATTTTTGTTTTGATTGTGTTGTTTGTAGTTAGTTTGGTGAAAAGGTTAAGTGAATTGTGTGGGGCAAGAAGTGTGCATTCGTTTGTGTTGGGGTGGATGTTAAGAGGACATCCGGTACATTTTGAGAGAATTAGAGATTTGTTAGGGTCTTGATTGTTGTACGTCCAGTGTTTGATTAGTAGATTGTTTTTGTTAGTTTTTTGTTTTTTGCCGATGATTATATTGTTATTGTTAAGGGTTGCAATCCATTTTCTTTTTTTGTTTGGTTGGGCGGGTATTGTTCCTGTTTGGTTGAATTGGTATTGTGAAAGGGTTTTATACCAGAGAGGTATTTTTCCTTGGATATTGTATCCCAGCCTAGCTGAAATATGTTGCCAGTTTGTAATTTTGCTATTGTTGAAGTTGAGGAGTTGTTCGATGTAGTATAGGTTTTTGTTGGCAAGTTGTTTGGCAAATGTGTTCCAGTTTTTGTGATGTGAGAGGTAGTGGTGTATTGGGGTTGTGCCTCCAGGAAGTTTGTGAGAGCAGTCAGGTTCTGAGCAGAAGGTTATTTTGTAGTGGTGGGCTAGAAGGATGGCGTATGTTGTAGTATTGTGTTTTGTGATCTGTTGGTTTTGGAAAATACAAAGGGGTTGGCAGTTGGCATTTTGGATGGCTGATATTTCTGTTTCTTTGCTAGGTTTTGTAGTGGGGTTTGTCAGTGAGTATTGAAGGTTAGAGATGAGGACTTCGTTTTGTAGGTCGTTAATTGGTTTGATGTTGAATATATGTGGATTGTAGAACCATGTTTGAGGGAGTGTTTTTTCAATATTGAATTTGTATTTGATTGTTGTGTCAATTTTCCTTTGAGTGTTTTTGAGCATGTTTGGTGTTAAAAAGGTTGTTTGTAGTTTGAATTCGATCCGTGGGAGGAGGACTTTGTTGTAGATATATGCTGCCATATGGCCGGTTGTGAATTTTGATTTGAGTTCTTGTGCTATTGTTTCAGAATCTTCTGTTATTTTGTTTCGATTGGGAGTGAGGATGCTATGTTCAGACAGCCAGATGCCTAGTATTCGTATTGGTTCTTTTTTGTGAGTTGGATTGATGGCAGTTGTTCCTTGATGTATTTGTTTGTTGGTTGTTTTGCTGTTCATTACAATTAGTTTGGTTTTGGTGGGATTGGCTTTGATGTCGTTTAGGAGGAAGAATTCAGTTGCTATGTTGAGATTGTTTTGGAGTTCAGTTTTTGATGTTGCAAGTAGGTTAAGGTCGTCCATGTATGCGATAGTGTTGTGTTTGAGTTGGGATGGTTGTTGGGTTAATGCTGTTATTAAGGGATCATAGAAGATGATCCACCAGAGTGGTGACAGTGTTTCTCCTTGATCGATGCCATCTGGAATGGTGATTTGTTTTGTGAGACCGTGGTCGGTGATTATTTGGCAGGTACGGTTTGTAAGTATGTTGCCGGATAGAGTAATGAAGGTTTCGGGGATGTGAAGTCTATGCATTGATTTTTTGAGCATGTTGAGATTGACGGAGTCAAATGCTGCACTTATATCTAGTGAAAGAATCCAGAGTTCTTGTTGTGTGAGCTTTTTGGTATTATATATTGAGTTGAGTATTTGTATTGGTTCGAATGCGCTTTGATTTGGTAGGCCTGCATAGTTGGATTTTTGTAGTATATTGTTTTTGGAGAGGATAGTGCTAAGTCTTTTGGTTAATATTTTTGTTAGTATTTTTCTGAAGGAGTCGATGAGAGCTATTGGGCGTGTTTCTTGGATATTAAATTTCCATTGGAGTTTTTTGCTGATGGGGTAGATATTGTAGTTTTTCCAATCAGTCGGAATTTCTTGGGAAGTGAGAATTTGATTAAATATTGTTTGAAGATATGGAAGGAGTGTTTTTTTGTGTTTGTTTTATAAAGGTGTATGTGATTTCTGATGGACCAGGGGCTTTGTTGTTTGGAAGAAGGTTTATTGTTTCAGATATTTCATATTCCGTGATTGGGCACATTAAGGTGTCGTATATTGTTGGGTTGATATTGTTAAGTGGGGTATAGTATTTGTTCCATTTTTGGAGAAGTTCGTTGTCGATTGATCGTTTGCGGAAGACATTTTTGTAGTGGTTAGTTATGGTTTGGTGAATGAGGTGTGGGTCTGTAATAATTTCTTCTTTGATGGGATCGATGATTTTGATGAGGGACGCCTTTGGTTTTTTGTGGTTTAGAGTTTGTTGGATCATTATTTTGGGCTTCTCTTGGAGGTTTAAGATGCGTTGGTTGATGATATTGTTTATGGTTTCCTTTTTTTGAAGATTGTTTTCGGCTTTAAGTGTTTTGTATGTGATTTTGAAGAGTTGTTTTAGTGAGCTTGTCAGTTCTTGTTTGTTTGAGTAAGGAAGTTTGAGTTTTTGTAGTTCTTTTAGTAAGTTGGGATCGGTTGGAAGGGGTGAAAGTGTAGTAAGGTTATAGGTGAAGTATTTGATTTTTTGGAGTTTTTTATGAAGTATTGTGCCGTTTTTTGAGAATATTTGTGGAGTATTTTTGTGTATTTTTGTTTTTGGGATATGTTTGTTCATTGTTTCTTTGAGTGTGAGGTTGAATGTTTTCCAGGAAGATTGGAGGTCAAGTTCGTCCAGATGAAGAGGTTCCAGTTTGTGTTTGATAGTTTCATTGATTGTTTCCCATGTTTTGCTAGTTGTTTTGTTGTAATTGAAGCGAGTTGTTGGGGTTGTTTGGGGGATTTTGGTAATGAGGAAGTTGGATAGTGAGAGCGTAATTATTTTGTGGTCACTGTGGAATTCGGGTTGTGTGTTAATTATTTGTGTTTTAGTGGTTTGAGTGGCAATGTCATTTGTGATCCAAATCTGGTCTATTCTGCTTTGGCCTGTTGGACCTGTGAATGTATATGTTGTTTTGTTAGGGTAGAAAAGGCGGAAGATATCGATGTAGTTTTTGTTGAGTTTTTTGTATATGTGTGATTTATATTTGGGTTCAGAATGTTGAGTTCTGTCTTTTGCTGAGGGTGTTGAGTTGAAGTCTCCCATAATGATGTGAGAGATGTTTTTTGATGAGTTGTCATTGATAAGTGTTTGGAGGTATAAAGTCGTTTTTTTCCTTGTATTTGTGTCATGTGGGAGATAAACTTGCGTGATGCAAATTTTTATTTTGGGTTTGAATTGGAGGAATATTGAAATGATGTATCCTTGTAATTCGGAAGTTTTGTAAAGGTGATTTGAGAGATTTTTGTTTATTATTAAGGAGACTCCTGCTTGGCTTTGATTGAGATTGCTTGAGTGTATAATGAAGTTATCGATTATATGAGGGATTTTTTTAGTAGCTTGAAGTTTGGTTTCTGATAAGCCAAAGATGTTATAGTTGTTGTTTTTGATATATTGTAAGAGACAGTTTAGTTTTGTATAGTCATTGAGTCCTCTCGTATTGAGAGATCCAATTTCAAGTGATTGTTGGTTTGT